ACTACTATCCTTATCAGAAGGGAGTGGGTCCTACTTGTGGTATAAACAGTGGTGACTGCTTGCTCGGGATGGCTGATAACCCTTAGGGAGAATAACCCCTGACCTACTTCTGTTGACCTCCAAGTGTAAGGTGACCAGAAGTCCTGCTTTTGGCAGGACAGTCCTGATTTTTAACAATTTTTCCCACATCCCGCGGCGTTTTTAAAAAGTCCCGATTTTTGGAAAGAATGCACGACAAGCTCGGGTATACGGTTTTCGGCTGCCATGTGGCTATTTCACCAGGGTATGAGTTTTATCAATGGTGTCCCGCTTTACCAATGTTCAAATCTGGTCACCTTATCCAAGTGTGTAGTCATTCAACACATGTAGCAAGCAGCTAAGTTTGGGATATATTTGGGGGAGACAACTTGGGAGAAATCCTTCTGTTTCCCACAGGGGCTGTGCTCCTGCCCTGCTGGTAGCTCTCCTGGGCTGCCTACAGCTGTATCCACACCTTGCCGTGGTCACCTCCCGACCCAGGGTACCCAGCCTCTGCTGGGTGAATCAGGCATGGGGGAGGACCGTGGGGATGCCCAGGGCAGGGTGCAGGTGGGCTTCAGTCCCCCCGGGCCTCTTAGTTCCCTCTGTCAACCTGGGCTGTTGCTAATGCTGGTGACACCACGGGGTCAAGTGAGGGGTTCAGAGGAGCGGCCCGAGGCCCGCTAGTGAGCATGCAGGGAATAAGTCACAATCCTGGGACGTCGCGATTTCCCAAGGACCAGCCTTCTGGAGTCCGTCCCACACCCCTGGTGATCCTGGGTGCTTGGAGGGGCGTTGTTGGAACCCTAAAGAGGAGCAAACAAAGCCCCATTTGTGGGCAGGTCACTGTCTAGGATCAGAGTTCAGTCAGGGGTCAGAGGTTAGCCGGGGTCAGAGTTCGGTCAAGGATCAGGGTTGAGGCCTCTTCAGTCAGGGCCGAGAGTTCTGGTCAGGAATCAGGGATGCAGACCGAGGGGTCGTAACTCAAGAGATCAGAGATTAGTCAGGGTCAGAGTTCAGCCAAAGTCAGACTCAGGCCTGTGCAGTCAGGCACATCCAGGATCAGGGCTCAGTGGAGTCGAGACTTTTGGGGCTAACTGCGGAGCTCAGGGGTCAGTGGGAAGTAGAAGCTAGCTGAGGTTTGACCTTCAGGCTAGGGTCAAGGCTAAGACAGGATCAGAGGTTCATCTCAGAGTCGGAGCTCAGACTAGGGGAGGAGGAGTGGGGGCAAGGCTCCGTCTAGGGACAGGTGAGGGTGCAGGCTGGATATCCTCGCAGACTGGAGCGGTCTGGGGCGTGTCCAGGACGTGAGCTATGTCTGGGGTCCTGGGCTGGATTTCACGTGCTGACTGCCCAGGGTGGACTCGGGTCTTTCCCGAATCACGGCTGCTTGTCCAATCGGATGGATGTTCCCGGGGACCTAGGCAGCGCGGACCTGGCCTCAGGGGGGCGAGAGCAGGGGTAGGCACCTGCACACTCGGGCTCGCTGCCGGCCTTCCAGTTCCCCCACTGCCTGGCCAGGCCGACCCACCGGGGAAACTGAGGCTGGCTGGGTGGCGCGGCCATCGGGACACAGCGCGGTGCCTTGGCTGCCTCCGGCTAACTCCACCTCCTGGTACCCGGCCAGGGCTGCCCCGCACCGGCGACCCCCAAGTCCGCGCCCCGCCCCTCCCCGCCCCACCCTCCGCTAGGACGTCACAAAAAAGGGTCCCCTCGCGGCGCAGGCCTGGAGGGGCGGAGCAGGCCAGCGCTGCGCGCCTCCCTGTGCACAGGGGCGCGGGGGTTACTAGACTGAGCGGGGACGCGGTGGCTCCGGGCGTGGAAAGCGCCCAGGCGCCCGCGCGCGCTGCCCCCTCCCTCCGGTCGGC